AAATATTTGTTTTTTCAGTTTTTACAAAAATATTGCTTTTGAAAATTGCTTTTCAGTTTTTTGTTTTTTAGTTTTTACAAAAATAATTGCTTTAGAAATTATTTTTCAGCTTTTATAAAGCAATAATTTTCTAAAAACTGAAAAAAATTATTTTTAATTTTTTCAGTTTTTAATAAAAAACATTCAGTTTTTTTCAGTTTTTACAAAAATATTGCTTTAGAAAATTGCTTTTCATTTTTTTTTCAGTTTTTACAAAAATATTGCTTTAGAAAATATTTTTCAATATTTTTCAAAGAAGTTTTTTTGTAAAAACTGGAAAAAAAATATTTTCGTTTTTTCAGTTTTTAGTAAAAAAAAATTCAGTTTTTTTCAGTTTTTACAACAAAAAAAAATTGCTTTAGAAAATTGATTTTCGGGTATGGGTAATGAGTCTTTTTAATTAATTAGGAGATATTTAGAATTGACCAACATGACGATGACACGTGTGTCTCCGTTTAAATGAGGGGTATATTTGAACCCAAAGTATGACTGCAAGAGTATAGATAACCCAATAGTATAACGAGTGGTAATATTAAACTATTTTCGAAAGTACAAGGATATATTTGGCCCTTTGCCGTCCTTTAGTGTTTGAATTGGATTATGGTTTAGGAGTGCTTTGGGTTTGTTTTGAAATAACTAGTTGTAATTTCATATTTTTAAGAAAACAACACCAAGTTGGTGCCCGCACTTGCGTGCTAACTCAATATTTCAAATCCTCAAGTTTAGCTAGTTCATTTATCCAGCGGCGTATCTAGAATTTTAAAGTTATGGGTGCTCGCCGATAAAGACTCCAAAAGAAGAGGAAAAATAAATTTACTTATGGGTGCTAACTCAATATTTATCTAAATATTTGTACGATTGCCTATGTAATTTACTAAATATGGTAAAAATTAATGGGTGCTTAAGTACCCACAAATGTCAATGTGCATCCGCCGCTGCATTTATCTGTACCTAATATTTATATCAAATCAATAAAAATAAAACAAGTGTCTTTTATATGTATTTTTTACTTAACCAAAGTTTATATTATCACTTTATTTTTTACTGTTAAGATTACTTGCATTATTTTGGTATATAAACAAGAGATGCTAATAAGTATCTAATCTTGCTTTTTTTAAAAGTGAGATTTAAATTTTTGATTATTTTCATGGGTTCAAAGTGTTTAACTATTCTGAAAAATTTTATATCGTTCGCTCTATAAGTCTACGCCACTGGTTCGTATTTTAAAAAATTTTGGTTACAATCTACCCCTACTCACAATCTTATTCTATAAATGGCAAAAAAATCATTTTATGAGAGCTAGACAAATTATGAAAACTTTTAAAAGGAATGATTGGGGATAATCTATTGAGATTTTGAAAAGCAAACTCTAAAACATTGGTGGCATTAGGAATGAAAATCGTAAAAGAAAAAGAGTTTCATGATTATTTTTTTTTAACTTTTTCCAAAAAAAAAATGGTAAAAATTTTCATGTGGCGCCAGTTTTGCGCCACCCATTGAATTTGTACTCACTTTAAAAAAAAAATTTAACTGATACCCAATTTTTGGATATCTTCAAATACATACACTTTTCTGTTGTTTTCTTCTCCTTTATGTTTAGAGCTTCTTCTTCTTCTTAGTTGTAAAATGGGTTATTAAAGTTATTGTTGTTTTAATAATTTGATGATTGAGATTTGTTCTTTACCATATTTGAAAGTTATGTTTCAAATTTGAGCTCATTTGGAGTAGATTTGAGCATTGAGTCGTATATTAAGTTGTTAAAATTCGAAGAACAAATTTATGTTTCAGAACTTAATATCTGAAATCTAAAGTTGAATCAATAGATTGAACTACTTAAGATTTGAATTTCTAAAGTCGCATTTGAAAGGCAGAAGAACTTCAAATTTGATTTTTGAAGTTGTATCGAAGAGATTGAACAACTTCAAATTCGAATTTACTGAAGTTATATTTAAAAGATAGAAAAACTTCTAATTTGATTTTTGAAGTTGAGATTCAACTACTTAAGATTCGAGCGGGGTACACTTTGCAAACTTTGTACATTGCCGGTATAACTTCAATGGTAGGCCAAAAAGTTGTTATATATGAAAAAGGCCCAAAAATGTCACTCCAAACACCATGTGTACAGTGTTTTAGTTTTTGAAATAAATAACTAAAAGACGTCTTTCAGTTTTTAGAAATATTGAAACATTTCTATCTGTTTTGTTTGGTAAAATAACTTGTTTTCGGAAAGTTGGAAAAATGATTTCTAACGTTTTCGGAAGAGTTCGAGTCATGTGAAAGAAAGAGATAAAAAGACATTGATTCTTGGAGTGGACTGGTGTAAAGAAAAAAAAAGTTAAGTTATCCACACGTGAAAAGATTTATTTATATTAATTATCAGTAAGTTTAATTTTACAATAGTAAATTACTAATTATTTTTACCAAATTACCAATAAAAATATATTAGTAAGAGGTTATAAGTAATTTGATCGTCCAAACAGAGGCGGAGCCATGATTTGAATTTTATGGGAAAAATCTTTTTAAGTTACTCGGTTCTAAATGAATACTTTGTACATATTCAATGGACTTTTAAAGATAAATAGAGGATTTTAACCAAAGCTACTGGGTTCGACCGAATCTGTAGGAAGCATGCTGGCTCCGCCCCTGCATCCAAATATATATTTTTACTCATATTAGCATGAACAGACAGATTCAATGCAGGGGTGATTTAATGAATTTTGTGGCCTAAAGCCAAAATATATTAAAAAGCATTAAATTTTTATGGAAATGCATATGATAATGAGACATAAAATAAACCTGCATGACTTAAATTTAGTAAGAAGAGCACAATGCGTGATGTGTAGATTAGACTCACATCACTTCTGAACTCTCATATACGTAAGTATAATATTTACGTGAAAACGAATAGAGGGGTGGACTCATTATCTTTCGAGTTCGAATTGTGTGCCATTGCCCTCGAGAATTTCTTAGCTAAAAAAGATGAGACACAGAAGAACTTGTATTTTGATGTATGGATCAATCAAATATGACAAAAAAAAATAACAAATTCAGAGAATATGAATTGAAATTAAAGGCTAAAATAATCAAAACATTAAAGAAAAAAGAGTACACTATTTAATGAGAGAGAAGGTAAATATATTATTTATTTACTAGCTCAATCATATAACCGTAGTCAAATTTTTAAAAATATAAAAATTTGAATTTTTTCTTAATAAAAATTGCATTTTTCATATAATACTAAGATAGTATTTTCTATTTTTGGGGACCTAAGGTAAGGTCTTCAACTGCCTTATCTTAGAGCCGCACTGGTTAGTGTAATTCAAATCCAGTAGGTTTTAGTCAAAATTCTATATTTGTATTTCAAATTTATTATATAAAAATTAAATTTAAAATTCAGTTAGTAATACATGATCTCTTAATTAATGTGGTGTTTATATTTTTCTGAGTCGAGAGTCTATTGGAAACAGTCTTTCTACATTCACAAAGGTAGGGGTAAGATATGCATACACACTATCCTTCTCAGACCCTACAATATAGGTTAATATTGGATATATTGTAGTTAGTAACACGTGATGTCATTATCTTAAAATTTATGACCCATAAAATTTAAATTGACGCTCCATCTCTAGGTATCAATGTATAGAAATTAAACTAATAAAAAAGGTTGCTTCTTACAAAAATTTCATATTCCTTTGAAACAAATTTCCTTAAAAGTTGAAACCTAGTATAAATATGTAATTCAATGAGTAACTTAATAAACAGGTTCCTCTGCCGAGTTCACGTGCATGGGGTTCACATACACGTGCCTACAGCCAATAGAACCACCGCGAGAATACTGGCTTTCTATATTTCTTTTCGATCAGTCAAAAATGGAGTAGTCCCCATCATTTTTGCAGGCTAAAAAACACAGCTACCTCACTGCTACTTCTGAATTTTACTACATCACTGAATATATCTTTAAACTTTCTTTTTATATTTACAGTATTAGTTCAATTAATCACATTATCATATATCAAGTTCCCTATGAAATTAAGTGAAAAATTACTTATTTCTTATAGGTCAACTTAACCTAATACTTAGCTACCGTTTGAATATAGATTTGATTCAAATTTGAAAAATGAATTTTTTGAAGTTGTGTTAAACTTGTGTTTGACCATGCATTTTCTTTGAAGAAAACTTGAAGTTTTGTGAGTGAAAGAAAAAATTTCACCCAAAAACTGCTCTAAATAAGTTTTTGAGAACTTGGAAATTTTTGCTCCCAAAACATGATCATATTTCATAAACAAAACAATATTTTCAAAAAAATATTTGAAAAATGAAACCAAAATTTATGGCCAAACGGGAGCTTAGTATAAAAGATCTATACAGTATTCTCTGCCCACCATACTTGAACTCGTATATAATTCACCGGCGGTTCTATTTTATGTGACATTATTTTCTTTATAGTCGGTTCCTAAAAATATAACACATCTCTATATAGGCATTTTGTTTCATTTTATACTGGACTAAGACATATCTAAGTCACTAGTTTTAAAACACTTTCCTGCTTAAACTTATATCCAGTCAAACAGGTTCACGTAAAATCATATACGGATCCAGAAATTTTACGCAAAGGAGGCATATTATTCTACGCTCAATCAGTGTTCCCTAAAGACTTTTAGTGTTCAAGGTGTCAAACGTTTTAAATTAATCATTTTCAAGATATATACATATACATATACAAGATTTTCGCCAGTTGCTTACGAGGTCCGGTAACCCCTCACTATAACCCCTAGGTTCGCCTTTGCATAAAATGAAACTACTACTAAGTTCGAAATTTGATCAACAAGAAGATATACTATATTGCGTCATTGTATTTCATGTAACACCAACTAATATACGTACTATAGTATAGTGCTAGCTAGTAGTATATATTTTGAATCAATATATGCATTTATATTGAGTGAACTATCTCATTCACACATGCACAATTATTGGACCACCAAATTCACACACTCTTTATTTTCTTCAACATGAAAACCCATAACCCTACCAAGCTCAAAACCTCACCAAATCACCTCTTTTCTTGCGGTTTCTTCCGCCGCTGTACTCAAACCGTTCTCAGCCCTACTACCACCGCACCACCCACCCTCCCCATTTCACTTTCCGACGACCTACCGGAGCCAACTCCGTTACCATTACCGCCGCCTCCGGCGAGTTCATCGGAGTCTTCATCATCTTCTAATACTTCACAGAGTTTCACTCAATGGAGGTTTCCATTACACACTAATTACACACAAGAACGCCCACCAAGAGAAGATATGCAGATAACGAAAGTTAAACCTCCGGTTGTGTGCACTAATTTGGAGGAGTTATTCCACGTGGCGGAATTACAGTTGACTACTTGTTCCGACTTGGACAAGGTTGTATTTATGATCCTTTTTTTTTAACAATTTGTTAGTCAAAATGAAAATAGAATAGGTATTTAAATTGTGATAATAGTTGGATTTTTTCCGAAATTTTTGTTTTATAAGCCTATAAATATGCATGTTTAATGAGGAGCATACAATCAACTAGTTCAACTCTACTAGCATTCTCGACACGAATTTTATATACATAAAAATGAGCAAATTTTTTAAAAAATATTGAACTTTAAATCTATAATTTAAAAAAATATATTCTTGCTAATAACAGTTCGAAAGTTAAACCCTTTAAATTTAAATTCTGAATTTATCGCTTAATAT